AAGGAGAAACATTTGCGACTTATTCTATATTAAAAATGTTATTGTTAAGTGCAATACACAAACTGTATTCTAGTAGTAAAACAGATTCAGTTGAAACAAAAGTTTTATTGTACAAATGAAATTGCTTGCTTGTATTATCGCAAAGTTGCACAATGGGCTATTTATGCTGTGCCGTGAAGTTCGAACCACGAATTTTAGTAATATAAGTCCTCAATTTATTAATGGTCACAAGGGAACAAAAATTTGAAGAATATTAAACATACTATAATTTTATGTTTTTCTAATAAATTTTCTATATACTTTGTATGAAGTACTATTTGTAATTTAAAAAATGTCGTTTGTAAAAGTTCTTACTCGATGGCTATCCGCGTTAAGAGATAGACGAAAGGGAAGGGAGCTAGTCAGCACCACCATCTACTCTAATCGAATAGCAGGACTTGACCATCACTCTTATAACGCACCCACAGTCCCAAAGTGTGGTGTGCGGATTTATTTTCGGCGGTAACGGGACCCGAACCATTGAACTTCGGGTCCACAGTTCGACATGTGGTAGGTCCCAAAACAAAAACTTTCTCTACCATTGTACAGTTGAAGAAAAATTCAGGTGCACCCTAAAATATAAGCGAAACTTTATCTATAAAGATTAGTGGTGGGAGAAGTGCTAACCTTTTAATTATGTTTTAAATCCAATAAACGTTTATTATTTCCCAAATACAAGTACATGTTTCATTTGCTCCCCGTTCAGCTAATTCATGTTAATAAGGATATTGTTATTTTTAATGTTAATTTCTGGCATATCTTATATTTAAAAACAAAATTGAGATAATTAAAATTAATTAATATTAAAGAGAATAATTATTTGTTCGTATTTTCCATGAAACAACACAAATATGTGATATTTCAACATTATTAAGGCTTATATTTCGTATTAGAAATCTCGACTTAGCAACCAACGTAATCTATCCTTAATCAACACGACGAAATAACAACGTTGGAAACCATGTTCATTTATTTACACTTCATCAGTAAATAATCACATCTCACAGGTTTCTGTTTTACATACGTATGCACATGATATAAATACGGTGCCATTTCTTTCACACACATATAAGCTGAAATACTATTAACCGATTACGTGGATAGTCACTTCATTTTCAATAATAATAATAACATCTTAAAATGAATCAGAATTATCAATTTACAGAATTCCGGGTATAGGCTTGCGTCAAGCAGTAGAAAGCGTAGGGTCTTGAAAGCCGAAAAAGTTATTTGAATATAACTATATTTTGGATTAAAAACGCTTGAATAGGCTACGTGTTTCTTAAGATCTATAAATTTTCATTTGAAACTTTTTATGACTAAATTTTACTCTAAACACTTGGATTTTATATGTTTTATAGGTTGTTCTATTTGCCTCCCTTGTTGCCATGGTTACTGCTGGTTATGTAGGTTCACCTGGATACGGAGGTTACGGCCATGATTATGTATGTATTATACCTTATTTTAGCATTTTGGTACAATTAATTTAGATTTTCTTTACATTTATTTTCGCTCTATGAGAAAAAGTCCTAACGTTTTTCTGATATATTTTCTAATTTTTGCTCTTACGATGTATTGCATGATATTCTAAATAAGTATCTGTATATTCAACAAAACATTTACTTATTATTTGAACTTTATTAACTTAATTTACTTGTATATCAATTTATGATTTGAATTATCTTCTGGTAAGTAATTTACTAAGTTGATTATTGTAATTTTTTACGTTTGAAATTTTGGTCTCGAAAGTCGAAATGAGCTTTATGAATAATTAGCAACGTGAAATATTAGAATTTGTTGTTGTTTTTCTTTTGTCTTTTGTAATTAGTATTACGTTAATAATGATAAGAAATATTTTTAATATTGCAGTACTACCCTCAGCCCTACAACTTCGGCTATAACGTTGTCGATTACTATGGTAACCAGCAATGGCGGGCAGAACAGAGCGATGCTGGAAACAGAAAGACTGGATCCTATGGTTACCGCGATGCTTACGGCCTCTGGCGAGAGGTGAACTACGTTGCTGACGAATACGGCTTCAGAGCCAATGTTAAGAGTAACGAACCTGGTACAGCTAACCAGAATCCCGCTGATGTGTCCGTTTACTCCAATGCCGGATACTACCCTGGCGGTGTATATCAGCACTGATATTCTCTATATTCATAACTTGTTAACAGGTTATATCATTTTATTCTCAGTTACAGTGTTATATTACATGATGTTTATTACCTTTTCTTCTTAAGTTTTTATATCTTTTAGTTTTGTCTTTTTGATAGATTTTTAAACATAGTTAAATTTTACGTTTAGTCATGCTGTTCTTCATAAAACATTTTTTTAACTCAACTATTAACACATCTATTATTCAAATAAAAAGAGGTATATTATGCTTTTCATAACTAATTATAGTCTATGATCAGACTGAATCATCTCAAGCCTAAAATATCGAATTTCTTGTTCACTCCCTTACAGATTAGTCCTAGTACTTGCTATACATGAAAAACTGTGAGGATACGGTTCAGCGACCCTTCTGACGTCTTCGATAAGCAGGACCTCTGGTGGATAAGTTTTTAACCGTTACAAGTTATAATAACCAATGTAGTAGATTACGTATCATAAGATGATTGAAACCATACACTTCTACACAAGTAAAGTAAATTATTTAAGTTATATAACTTATACCTTGATCACCATTATGTTCATGTGATAATGCAGAACAAATCGAAGTCAGTAGCTTTCTTGGACTTCCAAGCCTGAATTAATGACATTAGAAATCCTTCAGATTTATATATGTATAATCAGGAAGCGAGTAGGAAAAATCAGTGCACTGATTTCTGAATATTTGAAAGCAGTAGTTATGTTTGATATTCTAGAGCGTTGCCCGTTGTACCATGCACCGTGACACAAACTTTCCACGTTGTTGTCGGGACTGATTAAATCGCTAATGAAAACTCGTACCAGGAGAAATTAAAAGTCTAACAGCACCGCATCGTTAAATGGAACAACATTATTGAAAAGGAATTAAAGAAAGTTAAAAGATGACGCACATTCAAAGTGCCACAGGACCAACAGTGGCTGCACAGTCACAGGGTTGATTGACAATCGTCTGCTTTTCTAACCAGGTAATAACTGTAATAGAAGATCGCAAGATAAACTGGTCATTTTAATTTTGTTATTCGTTTTACATAAATGTTTGAGCTTTTTTTTTCTATTCCATAATAGGAAGTCCACGATAAAATAGTGCTTTGGAGGCAAAGTATCGTCAAGTAAAAACGTAATAAACCTAATTTGATACTGTGAGACTATTGTTTGTTTGTTTGTTTATTGTTAAGCACAAAGATACACAATGAGTTATCTCTGCTCTGTCTACTGCGGGTATCGAAACCAGATTTTTAGCGTTATAAGCATCGTAGAACTTGCCGCTGAGTAATCAGAGAGCTTGAGACTATGGAAATAAGATTTTATAATTATTTCTTATCATTAATGGCTTCAAAAACGTTTTTTTTTGTGTACCATTAACAAATGTACGATTTCAATTCAGGAATATATGCTTCATCTATAACAGAAAAAATGAAACTTTCACCAATAGTTTGCAATTAGTTCTGCTACTAAGTCATAGCCACTTATTTATTTTAAGGATTGCAATCCCTGTTGTTTTCCCAAGCTTTTTTATATCCATAAAGCATTCTCTGCGTCTCATTTGAGCGTATATTTGTTTTAGAAGTTTCGTGGTTGCAACTTTCAACTTTTCCAGACTGTCTTTTAACTTTGCTGCTGTATAAAAATAAGAAAGAAATAGCTTTAATAACGAAACTCCACAAATCACTCAAACTTCACTGAAATAGTTTGTAGACAGTAAGTAAACCAGAACTTTTTAAAATAGTGTCTACAGTTTAAGTGTACAACAAAGATTACAAGTTATTAACTGTCTTTGACTTTGTTATATAGTTATCAAACCATAAGCCTACAATACTGGAGTTTCAACTGGCTCTTCAAAATACTTTATTGGTCGAGAACTGTTTCTTTGTACATTTTCCTATACAAACTGAAAGACATGCAGCAATGTTTAACTTTGATGAACTATGAGTTAAGTCTTGATTCTGCCAGTGAACGACAAGTGTACTGACAAATTAAAAAGTCTTGAAATCTTTCAATATTGATTATCATTACTACACTGAAAGTAAACCCCAATCAAAATTTATTCATTCAAGATAGTTTTCTTATTCTTATTCCTTACAAGACTTTTGATTAATTCGTACGTTTGTTACCTTTTGAGTTGATTCTGATTTCTTTTAAAAGTTAAAATATCTTTTTTGCACTTACTAACAGGATAGATAGAGAATGGCTTATCACTCAAAGATTTATATTTGCAAACAACTAAGACAAATAAACCAATAGCTTATCACATTCTTTATTCAAAGCTTTTTCATTTGCCACTATAATATACACAGTAACCGCTTATCGCATTCTTCACTCAAAGTTTTTTATTTGCAACCAAAATAAGCAAACCAATTTAATACGGTTTTCCTCCCTTAACTCTAGATTGGTAGACATCACATATTTTGGTGGAAATTTCATATTTTACAGAACTGTTTAAGTAAGAGGAAGTAATGTTTACTTTTGTCAACTTTAGTCATTGAACATCAATGATTGTGTTTTATGAAATACTTACTGAAAATAATTAGTTTGATATTAGTTACGTTGGCATTTAAAAACTAAAATATATTATGTAATGTTGACAGATAAGGAAATATTTTGAACAAAACTAAAGTTTAAGACTTCTAAGGCTCTCAAATTGTGTGACCTTTCTTGGAACTCGAGATTAGTTAGGCTTAGATGTTAAAATCATTCTAAACATATATGAATAAGTAACTGCACTTAAGGTCTTGTGGGGTTAATGGTTTGGTATATTTGGGAACCACTGACCAAATGCTATAAAATAACTCTGTTTAATTAGATTATCTGGACCTGCTTGTGTGTATGCTTGAGGGCAGTATAAAAATATAGAATACACTATAGTTCACTTTCTCGTCACTTGGAGCGTTGGTTTCACTACTGGCAAATACTTCTGTGTTCTTATAATTTAATAATTAGCTGGACTTGTATGCATCAAAACTGAAACTGATAAATAACTCTAAAATTCAAAAAGTAGTAATTTTTTGTTGTTTTCTTTCTTTCGTAAGTCACTGTTTTATAAAAGATAGTGGTCAACTGGTCAGATGAAACACACTTTCTAGCATGTTAATCAAGGCGTTGGTTACTTTTGTGTAGAATATCAACGAGTCTCTAGAGTAGTATACAACATTAAAGTCTAGTTTTATAGCGCAAATGGTAAAATATAAAGAATATTTTAACATTTCCTGTAATTAGTCGATGATGTGTATCAAAATGTGAGTATCAAATTTACAGCAATCGAGTAACTTATATATTTGACATTTATTTATGTTGATACATTGAAAATATGCTATTTAAATAATATTAAATAAATTCAAAAGAAAACACACACCTGTCTAACTATTACGTTCAGCTTTAATTTGAGACAAACAATGTTATAATTATGTCTCTTATGAAACAACAGTGTCATACACTACAAACAATTATATCACATAATATTGAAATTATTCCACAGTATTGTCATGTTTATTTCGAAAAGTTAAAAAAATGAAACACGTCCAATTTTATGCTGTCAGGTTATGATCATTATTTAAAAGTATCCCGTCTACCTTATTGTTTGTTTGTTTGCAGTTAAACACAAAGCTACACTACGAGCTATCTGTGTTGTGCCCACCACCTTTATTAAAACTCGGTTTTAAGTGTTATAAGTATTCAAACTTACCGCAGAGCCACTGATGGTTCTCTACTTGATATCTAGACCCATTGTGACTAACCAGTTTTAAACATAGAAAAACATCGTTAGAGACCACAAACTGATTTAGTACTACCGTGTAATGCTAATGTGATCTTTGGAAACGAATGACGACAAAGACTTTACATTTCCCAACCTATTACAGAAAAATTAGACAGTTTGCTTATGTATTGTCTGTGAAATAATATCTGAAAAATAATGCCCTTGTTTTTTTAGTGGAATTGTGTCGTGAAAAAAACAACGTAGCGCATGATGGAATTTTCATTCTGACAAAAAAAAGGATATTAAATACAAGTGAAATATTATATTTCAATTTATAAAAGAAAAAATAAACAAACAACAGATATGTACCGATTCATTCATTATTTATGAAATTGTTCGAACATTTGTTTAGAAAACTACTCGAAACATTGTGTTAAAAGGACTTATGAGTTTTTATTACATTTTATATATATATAAGGAAAGCTTTATTATAAACAGCAAATCAGCTTATAAATTTTGAACAAGACAACGAGTTTAAACATATTTGAAGGGTGAGGTCGACAGGATTGGAATTGTGTTAACCTAAATTGTTTTTCTTTTTTTCTATATAATCTCCTAACTTGTTTGAAATATCTGTCAATATTTCCGCGTAGAGAACACAGAATTAAAAAAAAACTTACAGAATATAGAATAGAGAAAAAAAACATCACCCAAAAAAGTTGTTTGTAACTGTTAATAAAACAATGGGGGTGAAAGTGAAAGAACCAAAAACAGAAAGTTTTGCACGTTGTTGACTATAAAGAATGTGCGACAAATAGAATGAGATACTAAGTTATGTATTTAGTTTAAAAATCTTGTTTTAAACGAGTTTTCCAGATCAGAGTGAGACAGACAATCACAAATAAAAGAAACGAACTCATTCGCGGTAAATAATGAAAATTAATTGTTTTTGTGTATTATTGTATTTATTAAGAAGTGTTAATACACCTTTAACGGTAAAAAAGCCATATTTTCTCTTCTACATTACTTAGCACTAATGTAAAAGAGGGAAACATTTGTAAAAGTATAAGTATTTATTGTCTTATTGAATTTGATTTAGCCAAGCCCTGAAGTTATACTACCGCCATCTGGCCGTAATAAGATATATCTTCCAGTAAAGTGTTTTGCTAACAATATTAAAAAAATGTCTTGCTTTGACCATAAAGGTTCAGTTCTTTATCGTTAATATTTCGACAATATAAGACTACGAAAACAAAATCAACCATACATTTTATATGGCCAATTGAGTCAATTTAAAACAAAA